TGCTTAATAAGATGAATTGTGAAGGGATAAATGTGGATGAAATCTATGGGTAGCTTAGGATGCTCGAAATAATATGCAAGGGTCGCTTGAGATTGTGATTTGAAAGCTTGTTGTGTAAAGGTAAAATAATAATGAAAGGTCAGATTATGGTAGATTTTTGTAGTGTTAATAGAGAAAAAATAGGGTAGCTTGTTGTCCACATAAGTATAGGAATCTTATTATGATGTTTTATTTGTAATAATCTGATAAGTTATGATGTACTTTTACTTAATACAATATTTTCTTATAATAGTTCTATTAGTATAAGATAATTATGACACGCTCTAATCATAAAGCTCTAAAATAGTTGCAATTCAAAGAAATTAAATACTCATCATATATATAAAGTAGGTTATGTTTATGTAAGAGTAATGTTTTAGTTTTAAATTTTGCAATCTTATAGTAATCTTCTAAAAGGTTCCAAGTTATGCATTTCTCATACTTTACAAGATTTCCTTATTTGGAGTTGCACATTGAAGGAGTTGTTGGCCACATAGGATATCAGAAAACAACTTGGTTAATAAAGGAAATGTTTCATTGGTCATTGCTAGAAAAAATGTTTTCATGATTATGGGTAGTGTCAAGCTTCCATTGCCTATATGCCATAACAAGACAGTAACATGAATTTCATATTGGAGTTAAAGAAAACTAGCCACATTTATAATTTTATACTAGTGGTTATTGATAGATTTTGCCAATATTACACAATTTTCCATGTTATAATTGGCAAGTGGCAACAATCGGATACAGCAAAATTTCTCTTTCAAGAGCTAGTTCACTTCATAGTCATCCCACTTTTATTGTGTCAGATATGATTTTATCCGTTATTTAAGAAAAACCTCATGAATTTTTTTTTGAAACCTAGTTGAAGCTCTCATCGACCTTTTGCCATTAGATAAATTGAAAAAAGGAGTTGTCACCAAAAGCTTATGAACATGATACAATTACATGATGGAGATAATTTGGAAATAGAAATCTACACTCTTGTGCCTAATTTGCTTATAATTGTTTTATTTATAAATCCACTAGAAAAAACCCTATGAAGTAATACATGGGTCATAGTCTAGAAAGTAGAAAGCCTATTGATCATATACCTTTACGATTTATTTCTATTTGGTCATAGATATTTATATAATTATTCGTATGTATGTTTATGTATAAACGGGACATCGGGGCTTGTCATGATGTATTGAAGAACTATTTCAAATTTTGACTTATAAGATTTTATCCTCATACTGCATTTCCCACTCTCTCCTTTTTCACTTCCTCTCCCCCCTCCCCTCCTTTCTCTCATTTTGATTTTCATTCAAGCTCAGCCCTTTCTAGTTCCCGTGGTCTTCCCCAACTCCTGATACCTCTATGTTAACAATTCCTTTCACCCATGACTAATATTGGTTTCCTAATCACATATCCTTAGGGGTGTCAATATTTGACAAACCCGAAAACCCGACGTGAACTCAACCCGAAAATTTCGTGTTAGGGTCAACCCGGACCCGAAAAGGGTCGGGTTCGGGTTCAGCAAATCAACATGTTTCAAAAATCGGGTCGGGTTCGGGTAGGGCTATCAAAATCGGGTGACGGGTCGGGTTCGGGTCCAACCAGAAACTGACCCAACACTGTTCGACCCGACTAGAACCCGACCTGTTTTTTGCAAACATGTCGGTTTTCCGAACCCGGAGCCGACCCGCTTCTGGAATGTTTTACTAAAAATTTTTTATTTAATTCAATTTATTTAAACCTAAATCAAATTAAGATAAGATTTACTTCAATCAATTTAAAATAAATCAAGCTTAATTTAATTTGGGCAACAATGTTTATTATTTTTTAGAAATATCATTTACTTATTTCATAAAAATCTTTTAAAATCCTCCTAAATTAATTAAAAACGGGTCAAACCAGGTTATTTTCGAATTTCCGGGTCAACCTGATCCTGACCCGATTTTACAAATGGGGTCGAAATCCCTAACCCGAACCTGACCCGGTTTGGATTGAACCGAATCCAAAATTTTTAGGTCGGGTCAAATATTGACACCCCTAGGTTCGGGTTGACCCAGTAACCCGAAATTGACCCGTTATTGACTTGAAAACCCATTTTTGACAGAGAAACCTGAGATTGACCATATTTTGACCCAAAAATTGGAGATTAACCTATTTTTTTACCTGAAAACGAGCAATTTTTTGTCGGTCCCGGGTCATTCGGGTTGACCCGGACCCGAAGCAAGTCGGGTTGGGGTCTGAAAAACTAATCCGTTTGCAAAAATGGTTTAGGTTCGAGTTGACCCGAATAGTGTTGGGTCAGTTTCAAGTTCGACACAAACCCGACCTGTGACCCGAAATTGACACCCCTACATATCCCTCACTGTCACCAATATATTAATTCCCAATAAGATTGTATTTCACTATGAAACGCAATACGAATAAATGAATTGTGAGAGAACATAAAATGAAAAAGATTGGAAGGAGGAAGGTAGTAAGAGAGAAAAGATAGCGATAGATGGTAATTAGAGAGGAAGCCAAGATCTAAAAAACACGACGGGTCAAGGGAGGTAAGGAGTAAGAGAGGCAAGAGAGAAAAGATGTGGAAGACATGAAGGGAGCCATAATTGAGAAAAAATAGGGTAGCACATAATCGAGAACTAGTGTGAGAGGGAAGCAAACATGAAATTCAAAGATAGATAAATGTGAGAGAGAATCAAGGGAGACATGAGATATGGCGAATTAGAGAGAAAACTTTGAGATATGATCAGAGAGAATCCTAATCAACTCTAAAATAAATCATAACAATCCCTAGGGTGCTTCTTTTAATCAAAAAATGCATATGAACAATTACATAAATATCAATATTCAATATAATTAGAATAAATCAATTAAAAACACTAAAATAGTATAGTTAAAAATGTTCCCTAATGCACCAACTAACAAAACCAAAAAATATTTAAATAAAAAACAATTGTTAATCATTTCATCAATGTCACATCTTGATTGTATGGTCACCATCAATGAGTTCCATTCAATGACTGACATCAACTCCCTACGCCCATAGAACACCCCTATAGACAATAACCATCATATAACTATCTTCAAGTAACGTCTAAAAAAAAAACAATGCCAAAAAAGCAACCATAAATGTGCTCAATTGCTCAAAATATACTTAGTATAAGTGTACAATAGTTTAGTTGGACATATTTCATTGTGTTAGTAATAGCCAACAGAGATGGTAGCAATTGAAACACATGAAAATAGAGAAAAATGATTGACGAATGATAGGAAGATAAAAATAACAACATCAAATATTTATCCCACTATGTGGGGATCGTCTACATGGATCTTTTTTTACTGTTGTATCTTGTTAAGAGTCAAGTTCTCATTTAAATCTAATAAATAAATGTCATTTCTAATATTTTCTAACAAAGTCTTTTTAGTTCTACCTCTACATTTATTAACATAAGCCAAATCTAATACATCTACTCTCCTAATCGGGTCATTGGAAGGGCGTCGTTTTATGTGATCAAACCATCTACGACAACTATCTCTAATCTTATCTTCCACTGGAAGTTGTTCCAACCTTTTCACGTATATGTTGTTTCGTATTATGTCTTTAAGAGTAAAGTCACTCATCCACCTGAGCATCCTCATCTCTAAAACACTTAATATTATGCTTCTCTTATAATGGCCAACATTATGCACTATAAAGCATTGCAGGTCTCACCACTGTCTTATAGAATTTTCCCTTAAGTTTGAGGGGGTCCTTTTCTATCACACAACAAGTCCGATGCATTCCTCCACTTCAACCATCCAACTTGAATTCTACTAATAATATTCCCATCTATTTCACCATCAATCTGAAAAATAAACTTAAAATATCGAAAACATGTACTCTTATTAATCACTTGATTACTCAAAGTTACAATAACTCCATTAGATCTATTACTACTAAAATTATACTGTATATATTCAGTTTTAGATCTACTCAAACAAAAACCTTTAGACTATAAGATTGACCTCTATAATTCAAGTCAACCTTCAACTCTCTCTCTAGCCTTATCAGCAATAAGAATAGCATCATCAAAAAGCATAAACCAGGATACAACTTCTTGCAAATGTCTAGTAAGAACATCCACAACTAAAGAAAAAGATATGGGCTTAGGGTTGATCATTGATGTAATCCAACTGAAATAGGAAAATATTTGGTCAAACCACCTCATGTTTGAACACAAATAACAACTCTTGCATACATATCCTTAATGACTTGAATAGAAGCATTATTAACTCATTTCTCTTCTAGAACTCTCCATAGCAGTTCGCAGTTCTCTTGGAACTTTATCATATGTTTTCTCTAAATCAATAAATATCATATATAGATTCTCCTTATTCTCTATATACTTCTCCATCATGAAGATAATGATGATAAAATAATGATTTAAAAGCTTGAAGGAATCTAGACTAAAATGAACTTTCATAATGTTTGGGAGCTTTTTTTGGGGGGTAGTATTTTAGAAGCCTTTTTTTTTCATAGTAAATGTAAGGAATGAATCCAAACAAAGAAAAAGGGAGTGGTACTTTTCATTGGATCACCACCATAATCTTTAAAATTTTTAAAAACCCGCTCTACTTACAAGTCAATTGCACGTTGGAAAGAGAAAGTTCAAAGAAAACCAAAAATGTTATTGAAACTTGGTAGCATTAAAATCATATTGTTTGTGATGTTGCTAAGGAGGCTAAAACTTTAAAGGAATATGCAATGTGCGTTCATGGGTTATTAGGGAGGAGGAGCCGTGAGAGGGAGGAATACTAAGAATGAAGGGCAATGAACAAGATAGCAGAGTGAATCATCAGCATGAGGTAATTTGTACCACCCATCATAGATTGAATCACTCAACTTCGAAAGGCAGCGGGCCAAATATCTTCGTCAGATAGCAACATAAAATTGTCAATCATTGCGAAAAAATTAGAGATCATACCAGCGTGCTATCAAGCGTAGCGGCAAGGACGAACTTCCCATTAGGCGAGAATTTCACAAATGAAACCGGAGGGCTATCGTCATCAATGATGGTCTTTACACAATGTCCAGTAGCCGAGTCCCAGATCCGGCAGAGCCCATCAAAGCTGCCAGAAACAATAAGAGATCCATCCCGATTAAAGTCGACGGAAGTGACCGGCTCCGAATGAGCCGGGAGAACACGAAGACATTTCCCCGATTTCACGTCCCAGACTCGAACGGTCTCATCGAAAGAACCGGAGGCGATCATATTCGACTGCGGATTGTAACAGCAGCAGAAGATGTAGTTGGTGTGGCCGGTTAGGGTTTTTATTTGAACGCCGGTCTCAACGTCCCATATGCGAACGGTGCGGTCATCAGAGGCAGAACAAACGTAGCGTGAATCGGATGAGAAGGACACATCGGAGATGCCCTCGTCGTGGCCGACGAGTTCCTCGTGAAGGGAAAGGTATGTAGAAGACCATACACGGACAGTTTTGTCGGCAGAGGCGGAAGCGATTAGGGCACCGTCGGGGGAGAATTTAACGGATGAGATCGCACGCTTGTGACCCCTTAGCGTTTCACGGAGAATGTAAGGAGGTGCGATAGAGGTGACGTCATCATCGCCACCGCCGGCTCCGGCATCGGATGAGTGAAGGCCATTTGATTGATAGACGGATGACATCGCCGCCGGGGAGAGCTCGGAGTCGGGTGGATCGTGGACAGACGAGGGTTTTGGTTTTAGCCTTTTACTTGCGAGCGAAATTGGCTGTGAATTTTGACTTAACATGCCCAACCAAGGCACCAAGCCCAGAGTAGAAATATGTCCTTATATTTTTATTAAGATTAAAACTTTTTTATTATATTCTAAAGTAATTTTTAATATGAAATTAAAAAAAAAAAATTATATTAAAATTGAAATAGATATTTATTTTAATCCAAACCATCAGTATAAATGGCCACAAATTTTTTTCATTAGTAATTCTATCTAATGAAACAAACAACGAGAATATTTCCCAATTCTAAGACATTATGAGAAACATAAAATCAAATTTTTCATTAGTAATCACTAAAGATTTTAAATTATGTTAATTATAATAAAATTAATATAGCCATAATTAATATTAATTAATTAAATTTATATTAACTTAAAAACTTCATATTATCTTTATTAACTTTATTGAAAATTTTGTTTTTAAATTAATTAGCTAAGAAAATGATTAAATGTTATATTTAATTACAATAATAAGTTGATGAAGATTCAGCCGTTGTTCAAACCACCCATTAATCATGCTTTTATTTTTACCCAAAAAACTTTGCTTTTACTTTTACCTATTTGTACATGTGAATCAAATATCAAAATTATTGTATTATATGAGAGCGAATGAAAAAAAGACGAGAAATTTGGTTCCACATTTACTCACCGTTATTACTAGCAAATGCAATGAAGTCCAATTATCGTGATAAAATTTTGAGTCTTCCGGCATTCTCTCCCCGTGAAGGGAGGTTGGGAGGCACTTGCCTTTTCAATCTTTCCAGCCGAATCAAAGATACGATGACGCGAAGTCTTCAAATTGAATTCTTCTCGACTGAATCAAATATACAATGATGCGAGGTCTTCAAATTAAATATTCCTCGCTATATCAAAGATACAACGACGTAGATCTTCAAGTTAAAAGTGTAATTATCATTTAAGCAAGCAAAGAATAAAGAGATTTATACATTTATTTTTATTTAATGTTGTTGACAATGAAGTAATGATCGAATTTCGAATCGGGGTAATGATTGGAGGCGGAGCCGCTCCGGGGACGCAAGGGAAAGTGAGGTGCTAAGAGGACGGGAGAGTCAAGTGGAGTTTGGTTCTTTGGCTTCTGTGCAGCACAAAGGGAGTCGAGAGGTTGAATCAGGTCAGGGTAGGGATTATGTGCGGTTGAGTTCGATGCATGCAGAGGAAGAGACGGGAGGTCTGGGCTAATTAGATCAAGCATGGAAGAGCGAGCGGGCTGCGACTAGGATCAAATTGTAGGAGGTCGGCTCATGTAGGTGAGGGAGCAGAAGAGCAGAAAGAGCTGTTCCTTCTACATGCTTCAGGGAGACAGAAGAGAGCGGGGCTATTTCTATCGTGAGTGAGGGTCGTATGGCCTGAGAGAGGAGAGCGGTTGTTTGCTTTTGTATCGTGAGTGGAAGTTAGGGAGGTGAGTTGCATCATCTGAGAAGATCGTGAGTTGGGGTTAGTCGGGTTGGTCCATGGTCAACATTGAGATGTTCATACATACTCTTGTATAAGCATAATATAAGCTTTATTTCTACAATGTTGTATCACAAATAATTTACAGTGATTTATCGCTAATAAAAATGATCAATGATCCATCATATTTTTATGAACAAATTATAAGTTTTGATGTTATGTTTCAATTGTTTAAGTAAAAGCATATATAATTCTATGTAATTTTCTGTTATAGCTGCATGCCAAGGGAGGCTGGACCGACCGGCCTAGCAGGTAGTGGAGGGGGTAGAACCTGCTTGATCCCCTTGTGGGGCCCAGTAAAGCAATAACTTATTATGATAGGAGAGGAATTAAGGAGATAATTAATTAGGAAAAGATCTCCTATTTGAATTCAAATAGGAGAGGGAAATTTATAAGGAAAGAAGACTGATTTGAAGAAGATTAATTATGAAATGTTTCCTAATTAAAGGGGGCTAATTTAGAGGAAATTAATTAGGAAATATTTCTTAATTGAAGAAGACAGATTTGGGGGCTGATTTGGAGGAGATTAATTAGAAGATTTTTTGAAAGATTTGGGGGTTGAATTGGAGGAGGTTAATTAGCAGATATTTCCTAATTGAAGAGGGAAAATTTGGGAGGAAATTGAGAGAGGACTGATTTAGAATTTACTATGTTTTGTATACTTTAAATATGTTGTTTATCCTATGGTTCAATTTTTATGCTTAATTTTGCTTAAATTAGTTTTGCTTAGGTTGAGTGGGCTCTATTTGGGAGAGCCAGATCTTCCACTCAAATTGAAGATCCAAATGTATCTTGTGTTTTTCTTCTTAATTTTTTTTTTCAATAAAAAAGTTCTTGTTTTCTTCTTTCTAAATTTCTGGCGTCATTATCTGGTTTTGCTAAAATTGCATCCACTTCCTATCAAATTGGTATCAAAATGCTTTCTTGGGTGGAAAAATAAGATATCTTCGCTATTTTTGCAATTGGAGCCTAGATCCAATTAATGGAAACAAAGAAGATGGAAGCGTTGAAAGGCAAGAAGGAGCAATTCAAAACCGGTGTGGAGAAGTACGCTACCATGGAAGAAAGATTTTCATCTATAGAAAACCATATGAAAAATCGATTTAGAAGGGTAGAGGAGATGTTAAGAAGGCTCTTGGAGATGGAAATAAAAACTTCACTGGTGGTTCTGATGGCTAACCCTAACTAAGATTTGACCAGGATTCCCTTGGCTGAATCGAAGGGAAAGGAGATAGGACAAGAGGAGTTTGATGAGAGGAGTTTCTTTCATCAAGATGCATCTCCTTGATCTTCGATAAGGGGTGAATCAAGGTTTTTGTATGAGGGGACAACAAAGAGGGAATCTTTTGGTGGAGATGGTAGTGCAGCCGACCACTATGAGAGGCATTCTGGGCAAGGACAGTGGGTCATCAGAGAAGTTGGGGTCAAGAGCCACCTCTTAGGGCTCTGATAAGGGGTGGAATAGGGTTATCGGGTGGGGGGATAGCAAGAAGGGAGTTTCGTGATGAAGGGGGTGGGTGGCCTACCACTATGAGAGGTCTTTTGGGCAAGGGGAGTGGACGATCGAAGGAGGGGGACGGGACGAACCATGGGGATCAAGTCATGTGAGGCGAAGGGAAAGAAGGTGGGATTCCCACTCTCGATTCATGGGGAAAATATGGAGGAATCACGACAACCACTACACACAAGGAGGAAGAAGCTATTGGGGTTGTAGCAACCTAGGGTGAGGAAGTTGAGGATGCCAATATTTGAAATGGATGATGCTTATGGGTGGGAGTATCGGGTGGAGATGTATTTCATGGTGAATGAGTTTAATGATAAAAAGATTACTATTGCATGACTATGTTTAGAGGGGAAGATCTAGCTTAATTCCATTGGACAATAGCATGGCCACTAACAGAGCAGCTGAAGAAAACTATCAACAGCATCCCATCCTTCCACCTCAAGGAAAAGGGGCGTCTTTGGGAGAGAATTATTGTTACGTCTGCAAGCCAAGGGAGGCTAGACAGGCCGGCTCAAGAAGCAAAGAAGGGGGCGGAACCTGAAACAAATTTCAAGGAGATTTCGTCCCCCCTTGTGGGGCCCAACAAAGCAATAATTTATTATGACAGAAGGGGAATTAAGGAGGGAATTAATTATAAAAATATCACCTATTTGAATTTAAATAGTAGATGAAAATTTATAAGGAAAGGGGGTTGATTTAAGGGGATTAATTAGAAAAAGTTTCCTAATTAAAGAGGGTCGATTTGGGGGCTGATTTGAAGGATATTAATTAGGAGATGTTTTCTAATTGAAGAGGACAAATTTGGGGGCTGATTTGGAGGAGATTAATTAGGAGATGCTTACTAATTGAAGATGGCTGATTTGGGGGGGTTGAATTAGAGGAGATGTTTCTTAATTGAAGAGGGAAAATTTGGGGTTGATTTGGGAGGGAATTAGAGGAAAGTTGTTTTGTGATTTGTTATGTTTTGTATGCTTTAAATAAGTTGTTTACCATATGGTTCAATTTATAGGATCTAGGCATTTATAGCCTTTGTAAGATTGAGCATACTCGATGAAGACACATTGAAGTGCTTTAGGGGAGAGTTTGTGTCTGTTTTGTGGAGGCAAAAGAGGATAACATGCACAACCAAAAATTTTGAGGTGATCATATTGAGGAGCTTTGTTGTATAGGAGTTGGTATGGTGAGATGTCAGAGGTAATATGATGACATTATATTAATGAGGTAAATCGCCATAAGAAGTGTATCAAGCCATAGATTGTAAAGTAGATGAGCCGTGTGCAGAAGTGTTCTAGTGGTCTCAAGGATGTGACGATGTTTCCTCTCAGCAAGACCATTTTGTTCAGGTGTGTAGGGACAACTGATCTGATGATTGATGCCATTGGTTTGGAGATAGTTACGTATTTGGCATTAATATATTCTTTACCATCATCATTACGCAGGTATTTTATTTTAGAAGAAAATTGTTTTTCAATAGCGATGTGAAATTTAACGAATGTAGAGAAAACCTCGGATTTTTTGCGTTAATGGATAAACCCAAGTAAAGCGAGACGAATTGTCAATAAAAAATACGTAGTAACGAGAACCTTGTATTGATGAAAAAGGGGCCAGACCCCATACATCTATATGAACAAGTTCAAAAGGTTTGTAACTGTAGTTTTGTGATGATAAGAAGGGGAGTTTGTGACCTTTTGAGGTCTTACATGAAGAACATAAAGAAAAAGAGGCAGGTGTGACTACATATTTGTTGATCTTAGAAATGGTGGCCATCGTGTGCTGATGAGGATGTCCCAAGCAATGATGCCACAAGAGAGATATGGGGATGTTGGTCAAAAGAGATTCTCACAAAAAACATACAAAAAATCAATTTGAGAGAGATTTTTCCACGATCCACATATTTGAGAGAGATTCTCAATCATACAAAAAACAACCCTTAAGAACAAATAAAGGTTGTATAACGATAAACAATAAGGAATGTGAAAACAATAAACCCAAAAAAAATACGCATTTTAAATCTAGGTTGCATTGCAAACCAACACAGCGGCCTAATAGAAATGTTTAATCAATGAAGGATGCCAACTTGAGTGCTAATACATTGAACAAAACTTTAGGAGTATCAAACCAGCCTCGAATAAAATAAATCAGCTGCTTCGACTCAACAGCTGCATAACAATATTAACCATCAGAAAAAAATTATCATTAAACAAACAAAGGTGGTTCACCAGAGAGAAAGAAAAATATGATGTTGCATAACAGTAATCTGAAAAGAAAAATAATAATGAAAAACAAAGGGAGGGAAAGAGGAACGATATAAAAAGTCTAGGTTGTTAAACGAAACAGTTAACAAACAGATTTTTTATGCTGTCAAAGGAAATGGAGTCTGAACGAAGCACAGCAATGTTGATAGTATTAATATATATTTTGGCATATCTGTGTTTTCTGATTAATGGAATGAAATCTGTTTTGTTTCTTCCTCCTCCGATCTTCTTTAACTTCTTGCTCCCTCTTCTCAGATAGTTCATATTTCTCTCCAGCACAAAGCATAACAAAGAAGCAAAGCACTCACCATTGACCATCCAACATAACTTTGAAGCCTAATTATTTAATTATTAAATTATATTTATTTATGTTGTTGATTATATCAGTTAATGATGCAAGACCGTTAATGTAAAATAGCTTTAAGTCAGGGGCTCAAAATGAAATATATATATATATAATATATATATATATATATTTGCATTTAAAATTTCCACCAGCTAAGCTAACGATGTGCCATGTTTCCTTGTTAGTAATTCAAAAAAGACTTGAGTGAAGCAAGAGCTAGACTCCTCTCTTCCCATATCCCCTTAGCTTTACTACTGGGTATAAGAGGTTATTTATTTTTGGATATATATATATAGTCAATTATGCAACTATAAGACATACACTGTATTTTCTTTATTTTTTTGATAGTCTTGGCTTGGGAAAGTAAGCAGTGAATTTTGAGGTTATTATATTTGAGCTGATTCTGATGACTTTTGAAATAGAAAATATTATTAGGTTTACTTAGTTTACATGTTTTGATTTTTTATTTTGGCATGTCAGACAATGAAAGAGGTCATATACAGAAAGGTTCATTATAATAGAATGTAATGAGAAGTTTAGTTGCCTTTGATATGACCAAATCAACATTTGCCTGAAATAACACATGTATGTAACGATTAGGTTTATTTAGTTTAGTATTTTTTCCTTATGATTCAGTTATCTGGTTTTATGTTATAAGCCCTAATGTTTATACTCTTTTAATGCTATTTCTATTTTGTTTTAAATAGAATTAAACTTAGACAAAATCATTCAAAAACATGCTTATCTTTAAAACTATTACATGAGCTGTATTTAATTAGTCATCGTTATTACATTATACAGTCTTCTTATTTCCTCTTACATCAATTTTGCTCATGATTTAACTCTTGCATACCTTCTCATGCATGTGGAGATTTATATAACTTAATGACTAAATATTATTTTTAAACACATATCTATTATGTTGGTCTATCATTAGCTTAGAACAATTCTAATTTTTTTTTTCAATTAGCTCTCTCGCGGTTTGTAATTGGTTTTCTAGTCTTTATTCTTTCAGCTTCAAAGACTTGGTAATGAAATTATTTGTTGATGAATTCTTTTTTTTTTTTACCTGCAATTCCTGTACATGGGCTTTCTTTATTTTGTTATTTGCAATTGCTTTATGATTAATTGAATATTTCTTCTTGATAAGATTGGCATTATTATATTTTGATATTCTTCTTTATATTATATATATTTCTTTCATATTCACCCTTGCTCATGAAACATCAACCAATACTCAATTTTTTATATTGCATATTGCAAGTATGCTATGACTAGACATGTCAATGCTAATTAAGAAAGACTAAAATATGAAGAATATGTTTGCAATATATTTTGTATGTACAAGCTTACTGTCACAACCATACTTAATTAAATATGCATCACAATTCACGTCAATGAAAGAGAAGATAAATGGAAAGTGAAAAACATAGATGTTCATATTATAAATGTAGAAATAGAAACCTTATAGCTAAAAGATGAAGAAAGCGGTCTTCAAAGTCAAGAAAATTAAAGTTTAGTGCCAGTATAAGAAGATGAAGAAGCATTGCTTTTGACCTGCGGAAAAGCATAAACAAGATAACTACTAAAATGTAAAATAGTATGAGGAAAAACGCTATAGCCTTCTCACAACAGAATTATGCCTTTACATTTTTCCCCCACTCATCTAATACAATAGTAATATATATATACTTAGGTTGATGCATACAGTTTGATAAGAGTTGTTGTCCGTGCAGTGGCAGAGGTAAGTGGATCAGATAACATGCAACCCAATAATTGATAATAAATAATTATGTATAATTACTTATCAGCTCCGCGCAAATTAACTATGGGTTCTTGAATAGTTAACTTGGTTCTTGAATAGTTAACTTGGATCTTAATAAAGCAAAACTTGAAGCATATGAGAATTTTGTAAAAAAGTTGACGGGTTGATCGTGTGGAGAAATATGGTGGACTGCGATGTGTCTAGCTTTGACACAATCCCGAATAATATGGAAATCAACCTTAAGGAGAGTTCTTATATGAACAGAGCAGATTAATGTGTTTGCAATAATGGAGCTAATAATCAATAGGGGTTGATTATTATAAATGATGCTTACGAGTTTGGTATAAATCTGGTTGAATAAATCCCCATATTGACTCTGGATGTATTGCTTCATGCGTGCCAGATTGACTCTAGATGTATTCCTTTTGGAATTCTTCTGTCAACTCCAGTAATACATACATACCAAGTGATGTTGTTCATTTTGGTTGGGAGAAATGCAACCATTGAATGATTTTTGATGTGTGCAAGATGTTATAAGTCTATTCATTGCAAGATGTTATATGCCAATTTTTACTGAATCCTAGGCTCACTGTTGTGGAGTATATATTAAGGGCAATAATTATACATGTGAAAATTGAGTTGTTGGCATGCTTTGTTTACTTTTTTCCATATTAAGTATATCCATTAATTGGTGTGATCATCAAAATCAGTTCTTGCTTCTTCATGCTTGTTTTCAATTATAATTTGGAAAGTTCGCTTTTCTTGAATGTGAGCTAAGGATGAGTGTTATGGAATAGTGTTCTCATAAAAGAAATATGTACAAATAACTGTACAATGTGCCAGGAGAAATTTTTTGCCGAAGTCTTCAATCAAATTTCATGTTACTTGCTCTTTAACTTCATCTCTTCTTATTGGATGATTTGCCCAGTTGAGCAGTTTCACTTAGGAGCTTCAAGTCAAGGGAAGCTGTTTATACTTTGCTTATTTTTTTATTTCCTTTGATTCTTCTGTTGGTTTGGTTTTTTTTTTTTTTTTTTGGACTTAGCCCTTCTTTGAATGTTGGTTCTGCATGCTTGTCTTATATGTCATCCGAATTTATTGTTGATGTATAATGTTGTTGGTTTTATTTGTTGTTCCTCAAAATTGTTGGTTGTGGTTGCTGAATTATGTTGTCTATTGTGGTTGTTGTATTATTGTAGGTATAATCTCTTCTAGTCGAATATTTATACTAAAACAAATTATTTATGGCATAATGATAACTGTTTCTTGCTGTTTATACTAAAGCCAATCAATTATTAATTAGTTCAATATAACAAACAATTAGTTCATGCAAGTGGTTCATAATGGCGTTAAGCGAATTTCTCCGCCTTCGACTTTTTGGCTTGCCGGCCCTAGCTTCCTCCTCTCCGCTGTTTCTACGATGGCTTTCTTCTCCAATTATTTTGGTCTCTTCACCTTCTATAACTTTAACATCGTTTCTTCTTACCAGCATCAACGCCTCTCTCATTCCACCTTTAGGAAGATGAAGGAAACCGTTGAAAAATTCAAAATATCCATCATAGTTCAAAAAACGGTTCGATTCTCCATTAGAAAATCATCAAACATGTTTTAGCTAGCCATCTTATATAATTGTTTAAACTATTCTAACTTGTTTTTTTGCATTAGCTCTTTCCTGGTTTGCATTTGGTTCATGAGACCAAACTCTTTCGGCTTCAAAGAATAGATAATGAATTCAATTGTGCTGAATTGCTTTTCTATATTTTGGTACCTGAAATTACTTTACAACAAATCGAATATTTCTTCTTGAGAAGATTGGCATGCCCGACTCCTATTGCTCACTGTTCTGAGAATTTTTTTTTTCATCCCAGTCCTCAAGCAATTACGTAAATAGAATTTATGTAATAGTTTTTACTGCTGGAACTAATGATGGATGTATTGCAACATGCCATTTTCTGTATAGATTTTTACAAATTTAGAGAATTTGCTATTTTGCATCATTGGGTGGATATGAATGCAGCTTATATGTTGAGAAACTGACTTCATTTACAAAAGTATTCTTTCAATTTTCTTAACTATGTTGCATGCATTGAAACCTCATAAGTTCTTAGAATGCTTTTTTTTTTTAAGAAATGGCCATTTTATCTCGCATTTATCTTCTTTAACTTGTTATTAAAGCAGTATGCTGCTAAGCTTAATTTAGAGAAATTTTAGTTATTGATATTTCTTTTTTTAATTTTAATTTTTATTTTTATTTTTGCATCCAGGGAGAGCTAGGGCTCTATTTAGCTCATTAACTAATGCAGAAAGCGTTAAGCATTCCTAGAGCTACGATTCATCGGTATGACAAACTATGTTAGAAACTGCCCTTGAGCGATTTTTTCTCAGGATAATTAAAGCTTTATGATATGTTCCGACTTAATGCTATATATTTATTTAATATGTTGAAATGTGGAAGCTGGGGAAGATGGGGCATATTACACTAGTAGGGTAGGCCATTCAAGGAGCAACGTCAAAAAAAACTTGGATTTGATGTTGAACCGAGAGAGAAACAAAAGCAATGCTCCAAGGTTTTTGCTTAATTGCCCAATCCCAGCTCTCTACCATTAAGAAATAAATCTTATATTATATTTTATTTATTTTTCTTTCATCTATTTTTTCAATAATATTAACCAAATTTAAAGGACTAAAAAATGAGGAGTACAATGATCCTTGTGGTCATATTTAGTTGTATTTAATAACATTTTTAACTTCAAGCATTAAGATTGATAATGTTTCATGATTGTATTCCCATAT